CCTCAGTCTCAGTCACCTGCAGCTAATTCTATTGTGGGATCGACTACGCCGTGGATGTTTGACAGCGGGGCGTCTCACCATGCCACACCGGATATGACTCCTCTGCACACTTTCGCCAAGTATAATGGGCCTGATGGGATACGACAGGGCGACGGTAATTCTTTAAACATCTCTCACATTGGTCAGTCATCTATTCTTACTCCTTCTTCCGTGCTCACTCTTCAAAATGTCCTACGTGTTCCACAGTTGCATAATAATTTAATATCCATATCGCAATTGTGCAAAACTAATCAAGTGTCCGTGGAATTCTTTGATTCCCATAATAGTTTCTGCCTAGGGTCGAAACTGGAAGTTTCGGCCTGAACGAACCTGTCCTGTTTTATGACCGTTGGGTGTTCAATTCTGCTGTTACGGAATTAATTTTTTTAGTTAATTCCAATTTTTAATTTTTGAATTGAAGGCCATGCTAATGGTTGCTGTTACAGGAAGGTGGAGGGGTGCCCTTAAGTGCCTAATAAAAGCTATTTAAATCCTCCACTCCTATATAAGGAGGAGTTGGGCAGTAGAGTTTTTACACAGAAAAATTGGAACACAAAAGTTCATCTTTTTAGCCTCAAAACCTCTCTGCTTCTACTCCTTCTTTAGCCTACTGTGTTCATAGCCTTGTCTTGCTCGCCGGATTCTTTGTTTGAATGCTCAAACATTGAACCATAGCAAGTTTTATCCTGGGAAACCTAGGCCACAACGCTCCTAGCATCTTTGGGAGGTGGCAAATAAGGTTTTAAGGAAAGACTGATCGCTTGACTCTTGGAAAAACCCAACACCAAACACTAGCCAATTTCTTCATCTTTTCTTCCCTTCTTTCCAGAAAATAATAATCATATTTTATTTGATTATTGTTTGTTTTTTCTACCAACGGCTCCAACACGCACCTCTCTAGGATTAGATGTTGTGAAGATTAAAGTCGAACGGTTTATGGGGCTGAGGCCTTTTTGTATTCAAACCCCTTGTAATCTTGGTGAACATCTAGTGGATTGGGCTAGAGTGAGTTGCCCTGTAGACGTAGGAGTTTAGCTCCAAACTGCGTAATCATTTGTTGTGTTCCCGGTTCTACTTTCTTACCTTTTATTGTGTTTTTATTATTCGAAAAACAAAGTACTAAATGGTAAGTTAATTAGTTAATTAAAACCAATCAAGTATAACTGTAGTTTTCAACTTTTATTCAAGACTCGTGAATAAAATTCAATGCAATTTGCCAATCACCTTGTGCTAAGATGGCACCTGGGTTGGACTCCCATATGGGAGGTTGTGAGTTTGAGCCTCAGTGGATGCGTTATTGGCTCTTTGTGCTTTAGTATCAAATCCTATTTATAAAAATGAGGTGGCATTTTTGTAATATCACAAACTTAAATACTTAAATATGCAATATGTAACAACTAAATATGAACAGATACTACATTGTAACAGAGTCAGTAGTACTAAAAAAATCTAAATCATAAATGCTAAATCCTATGCCGTAAAAAGTGAACCGCTAAACCAAATAAAACAAAAAACTCAGTCATAAACTTTAAAATTGAAACCATAAGTGCAATGCACTTTCACATTTTTGCAAGTGCAATCTTTTAATACTAAATGCGCAAAATGTTAATTAATACTGAATGTGCAAAATTTTAATACTAAATGTGCAAATCTAAAAAATTCTAAGAGGTGCAGATTTTAGTGTTCTAGTTTAAATAGTATAGTTGAAAAATTCTACTCAACACCTCTTTGTATACTTATACTTTTACTTGCCTAGGACGAGAAACAATATATAATACTAGGTGTGATAGAACTTTTAGAAACCGTAGAAACTTGAATCTAATTATAATCTTACTTGAAACTATGAGTCTATGAGCCTAAACTTTTAATTATATTATTGTATTACGATCCACATACACACCAAGCGAATTTGACCAAGCTAGAAGACCTAATTTATCTTGTTAGACAATAATATTAAGGCTAACATAAACTATAGTAAACGAGTAACCTGCCTCGTTACAGCGGAAGCTTTAGGATCGTCCGAATATCCCCAGCCATAGTCGTTGGTATTTTCACGAGATGGTAAACCTGCAGAATAATATTTTGTCTACCACTTCTCTCCTGAATACGTGATGGTGCGTGTCCTGAACACGGGAGCTGTGGGAGGACTGTTTTGCTTAAAAGCCTACATCCCATCAGCGTAGGCAGATATTTAGTTAAAGCTTAACTGAATATCCTGAGTTGCCTAACAGATTAAGCCACTAACTGACTTAATCTTCCACTTGCACCACAACCACTTAATTAATACAATATATTATAATATATTATATTAGGGAAAATACTTACATTCTCCCACTTGGTGCAAGTACTAGCACAACCTTCATTAAAGAACAAAATACATGAACCACAGTAATACGTCATCTACTAATCAAGTGAGTAATATCTTCTATGATCACATGCATTTTAAATTCCCTAACTTAGGTTCTTTATGAACAAACCCTACGTTTATTCTTAGTCCCTTAAGGGATGTTTCTCAAATATATTATGTGCACAACTGAAGGAAGAAACCATCCAAATTCATTGTATGATCTCCAGAATCTTAGAAGCATGCCTTAAGTAGAGATCTCTTAATGTTAGCATAATGCTAACTATATTATGTGACTTCTTTATAAGTTAACATAAACACTATCTCTAACGGCTAAGATCTTGGAGTTGACACGTATGTCACTCCCACTCATTAAGATAGCCAAAAGATAGTCAAGTCACAGAAACATTCCAATAACATAAACCATAAAGTCTAAGTCAATAATTTGGAATCTTAAACATACACCAACTTCCCAAATAATCTCAAGGTCCACCTCCAAATTAATTTAACATAACGAGTCTTACTTATATGTCTTGCAAAATTGTTTTGAGCCTTACAAACCAAAGTGGCCCAGGATCAATTTTGAAGAAACTAAAGACTCTATAATTGCTAAAGAATTTATTAATTGGCAATGCAACACAAGTTAAACGCTTTCGATCTAATAAATTCATTAATATTGTTACAACATTTTCATAAATATGTTGTACAACCAAACGTTCAATAAAATGAACTTATGAATTATAAGAACAAAAAACGGAATTAATACTTGTGGAAACTTTTGGACTTATTGCTAGACGCACAATCCAATTTGGAATGTATGAAAACAATTAAATCCATCAGCATTAGTGAACTATTTTAATGATCTTTTTCTAAATGATCACTCCCACTGATTATGATATTCTTTAGACAAATTAATGATATAACACTCATAATTGATTTGACCAACTAAATAATGAAGATATAATTCCCCACCATTAGTTGGGCATACTAAATAATCAATATTTGGTTCCAATTATAGTCCAACTAAATGAATAATTGATGAGGACATGATTCTCCACCATAGTTGGACATACTAAAATAATAAAATACGCCTTCCACAATCAAGTTGGAATTTGGCTCAGAAGATATATTTTATTATTGGAATCCAAAAGATGTATATCATACCACGCAACTTACTATAGTTAGTCCAAATAACCAAGTAAGCTTCGTGAAAAATAATTAATAAAAGGTGTATCTAAATTTTGGGAAGTGAGTACATACATGTTTTGCCAATGCAAACCATGAAACTTAGAATTATAATTGAACTAAAATTATAAATTCTAAGAAATTGGGATAAAGTTATTATCTAATGGGTTGATGAATTTATTGACATAAAACTTGCCTGTGGGCTAAAGTTTTAAATCTATTAAATTCAATTAAACACTTAAATAGTATTTTATCTCAATTACTAAATAGTCAGAAGAATCTAGTGACATAAAACTTGCCTGTGGGCTAAAGTTCCACTCAATTAGATCCAACTGAAATTTTATGATGAAACAATTAGCAAATGAGTTGAAGAATCAAGTGACATAAAACTTGCTTGTGGGCCGAAGTTTTAATTCAATTAGATTCATTACAACCATTATGACAAAAACTTAACAGATCATGTTCCTTATCTTAACCCCTGTGGGCAAATTAAGATATATGACCTAAAGTTTACATCATAAAATTAAGCATCATGATAGAGGTGAAAATTACTCATAAAGTAAGTAAAATTCTTTATTCCTATCATTACTGATAAAACTACTAAACTACATTCCGATACATAATTGCCTGTGGGCTAAATTATGATCATAGTTCAGTATTTCATCCTAATTAATCATACAAATATAACGAAATTGCCTGTGGGCTAAATTCCATCATATTACATACAATTAATCACAATTGATATGTCTAAAACTTTATGTGACCCCAACAACTCAATATATAATTTTAACTGATTAAGGATGATGTGACTACTCCCCAACTAATTAAAATTATAAGATCACTAGACATTTATCAAATTTTTTTTATGTGACCCAACAACTCAATATATAATTTTATCTGATTAAGGATGTTGTGGCTACTCCCCAACTAATTAAAATTATAGGATCACTAGGCATTTATCACTGCCATCTTTATGTGATTCGAAATTTAGAGAATTTTTAGTAAATTAAAGATGATGTGGCTACTATTTAATTAATCTAGAAATTGTAATCACTTGGCAAAAGGGGAAGTTAAAGCCTAACAAACGAATTAAACCAACACATGATAGACAATTATTAGGTATACTCTCAGGAAAGTTGGTCGAGACGAAGCTCGGTTAAATACCAACTCCTTAGACAGAGTAGCGTCGCAAGGGGACTAGTAGCAACAAGGCTTTTAAGCCAGGGCCATAGAACTAGTATTCCTCCCCAAGAAACTTCCCTAAGTCATGCGTTCTCATGTTTGAAGTAAAACCTTTTGGGAGATCTATAAAATTGTAGATTCACCTATGAATAATGCTTTAAATCGATGAACTAAATTAACGGACTAAACGTGCTTAAATTCAGGCACTACTGTAACTAAAGTTTATGCATAGGTCCAACTTAATAAGGAA